GATAATGAGGCATGTGCCAAGGTTTGTGCCGCAGGGTATTCAAAGAAACTCCGTCATCTGAAGAGGACGCACAAGGTCAACCTCAGCTCTATAAAGGAGCAGCTGGATAGGCCAGACGTCGAACTGATGATCGTAGGCACGAAGGAGCAGAAAGCAGACATCTTTACCAAGCAGCTAGAGGCACCACACTGGCCGTTGGCTTTGTACAACATCCAGGTGCAGATAGCAGGCTATGAGGTGGTCAGAACAACACAAACTGGGTTGAAGGTCGGGAGCATGGAAACCCACGCCCTCGAGCCCTCTCCGAACCCGACAGTGGCGACCACTTCGTACAAGAAGAAACGAAAGACAAAGAAGGCGAAACGCATTCCGCCATACACAATGGCACCGAATGCAGAAGCTGAGGTAAGGCAGATGGGCGCACTTTGAGGCGCGTTGCTGCTGTCAGCCATGGATGAAGAATGTCTCACCTGCCATGTCGTAAGACTCGTGAACGGAGCTTGAGCCGAGGGAAGTCTGAGCTTGAGCACCGAACACTTGTTCCTTGCTCCAGAGGGGGGGAGAAAACCACCCTCGGTTAGAACCATGGTTTGTAACATGTGAGAGATAGCATTGGCTACCAGCTTTTCCCCATGCTTGGTAGCATTGGAAATTGATGCTGTGTGTAAGCATTGCATTGCAGTTTGCAATGGCATTCTGGAATAGCAGTGGCAACAATGCCATACCGTTACACGTAACCTTGAGTGAAAGCACTGCTGTATAGACATCAGAGACAGAAGTCAAACACAAACTTCGTTTGGCTCAAGTGTGAGAGGAAACTTGTGCGGCAGCCTGGGTTCGATCGCTCGTTGCATCGTATCGTGACTTTTGCTGTACATTGCTCACATTTGGAAGCATATATACACTGATCTAAGAATCTACTCTTTGAAGCTCTTCGAGATCTGAGACCGCGAGCTAGTCAACTTGGCCTTAGTGAGTACTGCAGATCGATCACAGATGTGGGATGATCCATTGTGGTCCACTTTCTGGGAAACGGAAAACTGGGCACATGTGAGACATGATAGAGTTCTTTCGGAGCAGTGCCTCTTCCTTGCACAAGATTGACAGTTGATGGATAATATGACCTTCAAATATGGAGATGTAGAACCATCCTGCACCTTGCAGCAAGACCATCAAGACCCACGTGTTTCTTTTGTCTTCTGGGATTCCGAGGCTTCAGAAGCTGCGTGCGCCGGGAGAGCTGGACGGCTGGTGGTGACAGAAGACTAAGTCTTCGATTCGCCAACTGACTGTTTTGCTGTTGGTGCAATTGACCCCCGCGGTTTGTCCCATATCACGGGAGATTGAACAATTAAATAGTGAAAGCAAACTCGGGTATTGATGGTTTGAAGTATCTTCAATTATTAGATGTTATTGACCTGTTTTCGGTATTATTTATATATCCCAATGACCAGAAACCACCACGCCAGGAATAGGTTGTTCTGAAAACCATGCTAAATGCTGACGGAGGCGCCTGGAGGTTCAGAGGCGCCTGGAGGCTGTCCTGTCATGGATGTCATCAATCGACAAAGCAATCAATGGGAAGCCAATGAGCACCAATGAAGTCAACACCAACTACAACAAAAGAGGTGCAGAAGTGTCTTCAACATACCAACAGGCGCTGGTGGTCCCAGAAGTGATTCAAATTCACAATCTGGAGACTTCCTTGGCTATCGACCACCAGCAGCGCCTGTTAGAACCCAGCGTCATTCGAGTCATTTGAGCGGAGGTCGTTGAAAGTGGGTGTCACCCATCACCAGACCCCAGACACTCCATGTATGCCATATATATATATACAATATATATTTGCCTACATTGACCCTCAAACCACCCCAATATATAGGTAAATATACCAGTGTTTAGAAACGTCACTCCGTCCAACGTTCCGTGTGGCACAGGTACCAACTATGGCCCCTTGCGCTGGGTGGTGAACGCTGTGGGGAGCTCCAGCTCGGAGGGGCGAGGGACTTGGGTCATTGAGTCTGGGGCAAAACCGAAGCCTGAAGCCCTACCCAAAGGGATCTGAGGGAGTATGGGGTGTTGGAACCATCAGACTCCCAACACAGCACAAGTGTGACAAGATCACTGAAGGCAAGATCGTCCGGTTTAGGATCGACTCACTGGGGAAAGACAACAGCTTCCAGCCTTCCAGCCTTCAACCGGAAGAGAGTTTTGAAAGGATGATGGCTCTACAAAATGATATGCCTTGACTTGGCTATGGCGGCTATGGCCTAGTTCTATGAACCACAGGGTGACTCAGCCCATCTCTGCCACGCACGTCTCCAGCGACTGACGGACCACCATGTCCGACCCGCTTCCGGCGCACGCAGCTCCTAGGCGGGCATCGTGCGCCCGTCGGACACGGCGGAGGAGTTGAAGGCGGCTCACCGTGGGGGACGGAGGTGCTTGAAGGCAGGATGCATCAACAGAGTGCAGACTGGGTTCATCTTGATGCCTGGCTGCCACCCTTGGGTTTGGACCGATTCTTTGGGTAAGGACCGAATGACCAGCGTTGGTGATGCGAACAGCGCGAACAGCTTTCGTGGCTGCCGAAAACCTTCAGCAGCTTGGCCTACAGGCTTGGCCTACTGCATTTCATCGACGGTATTTGATCACCCCGGTCGGCAGGCTGCGTTTTGCAAAACATATGGTGCCTGGCTGGCACTGCGGTTATCATAGACCATTCCCAGGTTGTGGCCATTCCCGGCTGAACTTGGCACAGTCTCGTCCCTGAGCCACTTGTGGTTCAAGGAGCCTCAATTGTGCATCGCTCAACTACTGAAAAATTGAGCAGGTTGTTGAATTCATACTTGCCAAACAACTCCTGGTGCTTACATGCTCTGTACCAGCAAAAACAGAACTGAGTTCAAACACTGACATCACCAAGTATTGTTGGCAACCAACCCCCAAGATCCTCCAAGAAGCGTTTGATCTTTAGCTTCCTGCCACTATAGTTCTTCTATTTCCTTCTCCCGTTCCACCTCCAACAGTTTGCCGGAACGAGCACCTGCTCGCTGCACCTTTTCATCACCACACGACCACACGACCCTCGCTGACGCTCGCGACTCGCCATGGCGAGCTGCGCGCGACGCCTGCGGGGCGCCGTGGATGCCATGGCCGAGTCCATCGATCGAATCCTGGACACCATCGAGGCACCGATCACGTCGGGTCGGGTATCGGTATCCATCCACACGTCAGGTGTGGTCAGTCGCCACCCGTCAGGTCCGGTGTCCGAGGAAAAAAGCATGGAGCCGAAGAGGTCCAGGCAGCTGGATTGGTGTGATTCTCAGTGGCTAGCTACCAGGACCCTCCAAGGGGTGCCCTCTTTGGAAGCCTATAGGTGGTGTGGGGTAGTTCATTGGACACCCCTTGGAGAGTCCTGGTAGAGAGGATGTAGAGTCTACTAGAGTTCATCACCAGCAACTGGGGGTTTCCCGACATCAGAGGCGAAAAGCTTCGAAGCAAAGATCCGGGTGGATTTAGGGGTCGGGGTCTTTTTGAGTCGCAGGTGGAGCAGCAGGTGTCACGCCTGGGTCAGCTGATTGCACTTCAGCGCCAAGCACTGGAGGCCCGGGGGGATGGATTTGGCCAACCGCGAGGACGGCCAAAGGTTCTTTTCGTCGACAGTGTGGAAGTACCTGAAGGAACAACCTACTGGCACGGATATCTACTACATTCTACTACTATATATTTATCTCTTATTAGTATTTGGATTATGTTGGATTACTATTCTTAGGATATTAATATTATCAATATCTGTTAATCCAATGTAGAATAGTACTTACAGAAGAGTGCTTCTTTCAATGAACATCAGCATAATTTTTCGTTTTCTATAGAGCTAGCTTGCTTGCACGGTGGATGATGTTTAGGAAATTTCAAGCTGAAGTTGTTCCTGAGGAATGTTCTTCACTTGCTCAGAACATGAACAACGTGGTGATTTGTTTGCCATTGTTTGCCTATCGGACAAGTCAAATATCCGTGCAGCCGGCTTCAGGCTTCACACATGGCAGCTACAGTGACTCTTTAAGTCTCTTCATATACGTCGTCATCATGCATTTCTATCCGAAGAAAGGGACACCCTACACCTCCAGTGGTGCCTCCTCAAAATGGTATGACTGGACCCTCCTCGCACCCACCTCAGTCCCACCTTCTTATATAGATGGTACGACTGGAGCCCTAGTGAGACAGTGATTTCTCTTTTGCACGTCAACCAACTGTGGGCCACGTCGTCACGTGTCGGAGAGGCACATGGTTTCCAAGACTTCGCCGACTTCCAGCGCCCCGGACGGTTCGATCCAACCGAAGAGAGCCGTGGTTCGATTCGGAATGAGGAGTGCAGCCGTGATGGAGATGGGCGCACGGAGGGAAGATCTATGGGGATGCATTGAATTCATTGTAACTGCTTGCCTACCAGTTTCACCTTCGGTCACACCATGCACCTGCAACAGGTCAGCAACTGATTCTTTGGCCAGGTGAGCCAGTGAGTAGCAATGATGTAAACAGTGCAAAGCTATAGGGAGCCATGGTCAAATCCTTTAGGATTTTTGTACCATGGGGATCCATGGGGATCCATGGCGTTTGATCCGGACATTGGGGCATTCGATGTCCCAATTTGGATTAAATTGGGTATTAATTGACATAAACACTGGCAAAGCTGTGGGGAGCCATGGCCCAATCCTTGGGACTGGGACTCGGCTGTTCGTCGTTTTCGCCTGGGGCCCAGGAGCTGCTCGCAAGCCTCCTCGAGCCCTCAAGATTTAGCTGCAGCCTGGTGAGAGAGATGCCTCGAAGCGTCCTCCTAGGAGTACATTGAATGAGCTTGTTTGTATTTGGGACTTGCCAGGTGGCAATCCTTTGAGCTAAACCCGTTCGTTTGCAGAGAAACATCCAGCGACACCCAGGCCCTCCAGCGCCTCCAGGCCTCCGAGCGTCGCTGGCGCGAGCTGCTGCAGCGCCTGGAGGCGACGGCCGGCAGAGCGGTGGGTGGCATAGCGTTGGGGGCGCAGGCGCCACCGGTGGTGCTGCAGAGCGCAGGAGGCCGCAGGGGATGTGGTGGTTGTTTGGGGGGCTAGAAGAGGAGCTGGTGGGGTTGGTGCAGTTTGGGGAGCCTTTGGTAGGGCTGTGGGACATGTGTGGTTTTTCCTTGGAAATAGATTGGTCAATGACGAAGGTGGGCATGTGACAGGTTTGCTTGACACCATGATCTCAAACCAAAACAGTACACAGTAAACAAATGAAAGAAGCAGACCTGCTGCTTGTAAAGGAAACGTTTGTCACTACTCTTCCAATGGACAATGACTTAAACGTGTGTTCTTCGGCGCGCAGTACATGTTGCTCCTGTCGATTTCGTGAAGTTTGATGAGCCCGGCTCAGTGGTCAGATTACCCAAGATATTAGGTGGGGAGTGAGGAGGTCTTGGTCACCAGCAAATCAGAGCAAGGCAACAAACACGTTATATCGAACCCAACATCTTGCTGGCAAAACAAAGGAAACTGGTCGAAATGCGCAAGACCGGACCCAACACATTGAACAACTGCTTCCCTGATTTGTTGCACATAGCATGTACTTGCAAGATATTCCTCCCTTCGTGACCCGTGGGGATTACATGGGAATACCATGGCATACCAACGTGTTGAGCCTCGCGTTTTAACCAACGGTCCTGCACGGTTTCTGCGCAGCGGTTTTTAGGCGATTGGGTGGATGTGCAGAGACTTTGTGAACGATCCAGAGGCCCGCTGATTCGATGCTTTGCAGTATTTGGAAAAAGGCGGTCGGTTGGATGATGCCTTGATCCTTCTTGATTGGTGGGGTGATTAGGTCCGGTGGCGTGGTCTTGAGCTGGTGCTGAAATGATGATTCAACCGCAGGTGATTCAACCGCATGTTTCAACATTCAACCTCTTTCTAGGACCTTGGACCAGTTCATGTCTTTTGTGCGCGCCATCTCTGTAAAGAGACAGCTATAGCAGCTATAGTATGTAGAAGATGATTTCACCGTTCGACCAGACATTTGAGCCGTTTGCTCCGTCCGGAGAGCAGCAGCTCCGTCCCTCGTTTCATGTTGGAATCCAGACCGACCCGAGATGGTGAGCGACCGAACGAACCGGGCGATGTCCGTAACCAGGGGTGCTTTTGGTGTGGCTCCGGCACTTTGGATGACTTCCCTGAGCCTCATCGGCAAGCAAACATCCGGCCGCATCGGCGTCCGGTCTTGGGAGGTGTTCATCGATGGCATTGATGGATTCGGAAGACGCCTTGCTATGCTTTGCTGCAGAAATATGGAACTATTTGGTGGTGAAGATACCCCCTATATCAGGATATATAGTATTGAAATTCAAGAATCTTTAACATGTATTATGAGCCATGGGCCATGGTCTTGGTCCAAAGCTCTACTTTCCAAACAGGTTGACAAATGTAGAAACGGTGGAATCAATCCAGACTCCATTCCCTGTCATGGGACTATGCCCACTTTGTCCTTTCCCCCCACCATCCCCCACCCACATTCCGGCTCTCTTGCTTCAATACATCCATACAAACGTCGCGCGACATGACCATCAGCAGCAGTTTGTGCAGCTTCGGCAGCTACACGGACAGCGGATGGGCGGATGGGCGAATGGGGCTGAGGACGACAGCATGTGGCTGATCTGGCCCAGCATGCTGATGAGCTGAAATGGTTGGGACTTCACGTCCTTGTGGCCACTCGGCAGCCCGGCCCATGGGGCGGCCCATGGGGCGGCCGGTTTCATGGGGACGTTTTTTTCGGACGGGTTTCCACTCGATGGCATGTGGTGAAACGAGTTCAAGTGAGGCTTCTTTCCGTGGATGTTGGCCACTCGCTTAGATGAGTTGTTGAAGAGGTGGAGCATGGTGGAGCGTTTCATGCAACACCTAATCACAGAGCATGTGGACTGCCCTTTCCTTTGTTCTTGATTCACGTTGATTCAGTCAATGGTGAGTGGAAAGATGAGGAAAGAACTCTTGGAGTTTGCTGGCATCCAGAGGCCAAAACACACATATTGTTGCCGCTAGCTTGCGGTCCGACACTGAATTTGATAGGTTTACTCAGTTCACTCTGCTCCTACTTACATAATTGATCATAATTGTTTTGGATGGTTCTGTGTTTGTTTGGCCCTCCATTTCCTTCAATTGGTTGACACACATCCAAGGTGAGCTTCTGTCCAGATGCACAGTCACGCGGCATTTTATAATTGTTTATCATTTTGAGTATGCGAAGACCTCTCATGTGCCGGAAGTTAAGACAATTGGAAGGGAAAACATCTAGCATCCTCTAGAGTCTAGCTTTTAAGTTATAAGACTCTGAAAATTGAGGGTGCCCGGAGCATTTGGATCCTTGGTTTCTGTTGGAATCATGCGATATGG